GTTTGAATTTACATGAAATTTTTTACGACAGCGGGAATTACGATTTCTTTAAAATTTCAGATTTCAATGGAAGTTTTCGTATATAAAAGTAAGTGACTAAATTATTAATATTTGACGAATTTGTGATTAATTAAATATTTATTATCAAATTTTAGGAAATCAGTTTGTTCCAGCTTACATTAATAAAACAGATGATTTATGTGCTTACTTTAAAATTCCTTTATCACAAATGCTAATCCATTTGCTATACCCAACTCTATTGAGCTCGGGACATATGCCCAAAGAATGCCCAATTCAGGCAGTGAGTTGAGTATTGAAAAAAAATATAATAATTATATTATTATTTGTTATATTTATTTTTAATCATTATTAAAAATTCATTAGTTAATATATCCTAATATATATTTAACTTTTGTTGTCTTGTCAAACGTTATTTTTACATATTTATAACTATATTAGACGATGGTTTAACAATATAGTTTAATTGAAAACTTGAATTATTAACATTTATTTTTTTAGTGCTTAAATTAACTTCACGTAGGATAAGTTATAAAATCGCAAAAAAATCGAAAATAAAATTTTTCATATATCTTTACGTTTCAGCGGTTTCTGAACATTTTGGCATATCTCACAATTAGAAAAAATGGATGTATATGTGTGTGTGCGTGTGTGTATGTATGTGTGTGTGTGCGGATAGAAATTTTTGTCGACAATTCCGAGAACACCGATCAATCGATTTGAATAATTCAAAAATATTTGATTCGTATTGATAAGGAGACGTGCTGATCAGTTTTTGGCAAGGGTCCTGTTGTTCCGAAGATACAAAGTGCAAAAACGGTAACTCAGTTTTTAAGAGAACGGAGCGTTCGATTTTAATAATTCAGAAATTATTTTACTTGTATTGACAAGATGAAGAACTGATTAAATTTTTGGAAAGGCAGGTCTAGCGGTTTCGGAAACTTTAACTATGTGTATCAATTTTGTTTACATTTCTATGTGTTCAGTAACATCGTTTGTCCGTAAGACGGCGACGCGGCATTTACGCGCTTCGATTGTCTCTATGCAGCTAAAGCATTGCGATTGGTTTGAAAAAAGTTCAAAATTTCCAAAATATTTCGAAATAAAAAAAAAAGTCAATTTTTTTCCAACCTCAAAAATGTATTTTTTTTTTAAGTTAAAAAAACATTTTATCTTTTTTGAAAAAAATAATTTTTGATACAAAAAGTTCAAGCGATGCCATACTACGCCACTAGTTAATTTTGAATAGGAAATAATTGTGAGTAACATTAAGTGAAATTTAAATCACAGAGACATGAATATTCAGTCAGAAAATAATTATAACCTAAAATTTAAATTTTGAGAAATTTAAACTGATACTTTATATGAAAATAAAAAAATATGTTTCAGAAGTATAATAAACAATACAAAAGCTACTTAATGATTTTTACTGCCCGTTGCTCAATAAATTTATTATCTACGTGCATCTGAACAACTACTACAATAAAAGTAAACAAAATAAATTTTCCGTTTCGTATATAGTTGTAATCAGTAAAAATAGTAAGGAAAATTTAGAGAACTGATTGCATTGTGTATAATTTTTTTCATAAATACTGTCAAATTTTGCCAAATTATGTTCAGAATGCAAAAGAATAGACAATGTTAGTCTACACTTCTGCATTCACTTACGTTATTTATTCAAGAAAGTTAAATCAAACATAACTCATGTTTTTCCAAAAGTTCTCTGTATAGTGGACTGTTATTTTAACAAACAAAAGTTCACTTATGAAACATTAGGACTTGTAAGCACTTTCAAATAAGAGGTATATATCATATATGGTGAAATATATATATTTTTTCGAATTTTCAATACGAAGATGATAGCGTAATAATTTCCTAGAGTGCAATAAAATTGCACTTACAATGAATTTTCTGCGCTATCATTAATCATTTCATTAGTCATTTTTTTGTTGCACTGTGCAGACCTTGATATAATGAAGTAATAAATTTATAAACTTTTCAGTTCATTCTTAATTAACTTCCCGTAGGGTAAGTTATAGTAATCGCAAAAAAATCGAAAATGAAAATTTTTATATATCTTTACGTTTCAGAGGTTTCTGAATATTTTGGCATACCTTAGAAAAAATGGATGTATGTGTGTGTGTGTGTGTGTGTGTGTGTGTGTGTGCGTGTGTGTATGTGCGGATACAAATTTTCGTCGACGATTTCGGGAACACGGATCAACCGATTTGAATAATTCAAAAAACATTCGATTTGTATTGATAAGGAGACGTGCTGATTAGTTTTTGGCAAAGGCAGGTCTAGCCGTTTCGGAGATACGGGGCAAAAAGTGCCGAAAACGGTAACTCAGTTTTTAAGAGAACGGAGCGTCCGATTTTAATAATTCAAAAAACATTTTACTTGTATTGACAAGATAAAGAATTGATGAAATTTTCATGAAGGCAGGTCTAGCGGTTTCGGAGATCTAACGAAAAAAGTAAAAAAAAATGCCATTTGGCGGTCAAAAATGATTATTAGACATATGCACATCAAATTTTCAGATATTTTATAGAGATTTTAACAATAAGTATAAATTTGTTTATTTTCCTATGGGTTCCGTATCAATGTTTACCCGTTAGACAGCGACGCCGCGCTTACGCACTTTATATTTTGTCTCTATGCAGTTAAAGCAGTACGATTGCTTTGAAAAACAAGTTCAGATCTTCCAAAATGTCAAAATAAAAAAAACATTTTTTTTTAAAAAAAAAACAAATTTTTAAAAAAATTTTTTTAAAAAAAAAAATTTTTTTTAAATTTTTTTTTTTTTCAAAAAAAAGTAATTTTTTGTCCAATTTATAGTTTTTCAAAAATCTTATTTTTTTTGAAGTAAATTTTTTTCAAAAATGTTAATCGTTCTTTAAAAAAATAATAATTTTTGGTACGGGAAGTTACAGCAATTTGCCTTAAGGCACGATGCCCTAATTGCCTTAAGACAGAATTCCACTTACAGCTAGTTTATATATAACATTGATCTATTCAATTTTAGGACAAATACTATGTACGAAACGTGACTATAGATACAAAGTCCTATTTGCCGGATGGAAAATATAAATTGGATTTAAGCTATCGGTCTGGAAAAATATTACTTTGTGTAAACACAATGGTGTTTGTACAGGAACCAGCCAGAGGAAAAAATGGCTAATTTAGATAATAAAAAAATGAAAATCCAATCCATGCGATTCATCAAAAATTTAATATCCTCTATATAAATTTATAAAAGGCATATGCCCACTGGAATAAAGTTTGTGACCACAACATAATTATCGTTTGCCAATGGTAAATAGAAGCAAATTATTTTTTGTATAACATATTTTTGACCAAAAATCTTATTTTGTTATTTTATATTTTTTCAATGTTCGACGTCATTTCAAATCCAAAAATTAAACGCAAATTTTGCTGAATTTTTAATGAATCTCAATTTTTCTTCGTTTCTCAAATATTTCAGATAGATTTTCTTATTCATAGTGAAACTATTTTTTTAGAACAAAAGTTAAAAATTTGTTCACTAATTTTCAAAATATAAGCCATATTCAGCTAATTTTGATTGATTAGTTGTAAATAAAAATGAAACATAACTAATTAAAAGCTAAAAAAATTGTTCAAACCAAAAAAAAAATAAAATCCAAAAACTTTAAATGAGATTTCTTTTAATAGACTTATAAACTCAAATTTATACTTATTATAAATAAACTCAAACATGTAATACCATTTTTCACATATATAGTGATGTAATAATATTACCATGCTATTTTATACATTGATTTATTGAAATACACACATATTAAAATTTGTTAACATTTCTAAATCCCTTTTGGAAATTACATTATAATACTTGAAATTTTAATATTATTATAAAAGTTGAATCTTATTAAATAATTAATGTTATTTTATTAACTACAATAAACGTATACAACACAGCATTTATTTGTTGCCACACAGAGATTGACTAGATTGTCCATTAAGCTTTATAAAATTTATTAAAAAGTCAATTTTAATACTTATATTAGTAAAAAAAATTAAGTTTTACATTAGCTAAATATATATATAAATATTATCTTGATAGTTTTTTCGACGTTGAAACATATTTCAAAGTAACTAGCAGCCCATTCGTCGAAATAAAAAAGGTATAAAGTATAAAAACTTTTATTTATACGTTTCGACACAAGATGCGTGTCATTGTAGTTGGTGAGTGATGACACGCATCTTGTGTCGAAACGTATAAATAAAAGTTTTTATTCTTTATACCTTTTTTATTTCGACGAATGGGCTGCTAGTTACTTTGAAATATAAATATTATGTAAATGTATGTAATTTTTGGAGAAAATTTGAATGCTTATATTTTGGCTGACTTCATATATTTTTATATGGCGCGTAAATAAAACATAAACTATTATGCTCTATTTATTTAAACTCAAGAATTTTTCCTGTTTATACAGTAAGTATGTAATACTTTTAATAAAAGTTGGCAGGAGTTGGCTAAAATAAAAAATCACACATATTCAAAAATCGCACCCCAAATAAGAGCTTGTTTCATTTACGTTGCTTTATTAAAAGAAAATAGTATCAAAAAATATACCAAGTGACACTTTTCGTAAACTTTAGCGTTTTACCATTGATCGCTTTTACCATTGTAATGACCAAATATATAGAGAAAATCTTACAAAACTAAAATTTAAAGTGATGTGGAAGTATAATTTGGGCCATATTAAAATCATTTCCTATTTGTGGCAAAAGCAACCCCATTTTCTAAGATTTTCGAGAATACCTTGTATTATCAGAGAATATGCCTGCATTAAAATTGAAAACATAATTTTTGATTTATGCAATTCAATCCAATATAAAAGAGCAAACTGCTTTCAACTACAGAAATTATACATTTAGAACACATATTCCCGTTATTCAAAATTCCCAGTGTAAAAATAAATTAGACTAAAATATTTAAATTAGACTATGGTTTCAATATCACCGTCTTTGACGCGTTCACAACCTCTAACCAACAACGGCGTCTTGGCGCAGTCTTCCAAAAATGGATTTACCATTTCAGCTTTACCATTACGTTTAATTCCATTATCCTTCACCTTTTTCAAACCATTTGATTCTATATTATATGCAATTCTGCTATTATCCATTAAATTTAATTGTAGCGTAGCCAAACCCATTGTCTTTTGCACCAGCTGTTCAATACAAGGACAAGAAGTCGTTGCAGAAATATGAGTTTCATTTATTCCTTCTGTATTATTCTCTAATGAATTTGTTCTGGAATTTGATAATTTGCAATAAGTACTATTTTCTGTGTTGTGATGATGTTGCGAAAGATATAAGGTGTCGCTGCTGGCAAAACGCAATCTCTTTGGCGTTTCTAAACTGCTGCTACGTGGAATGATACTCGTTGTTTTGGAAGTTTTGAGAGAGCTTTTTGGTCCTATTAAGTTTTCTGGTACTAAAAAGATTAAAAAAGAACAATTATTTAAGTGAAAATTATAAAGGAAATTCATATCATCGTAAACATTTATCAAATTTTAAGTTTGGTAGAGGATATTTATATTATATTTACCAAGTAGTTCCTTGGGTGGTGCCAAACTACCTCGTCTATTTTCGCGTTCCAGCGAGCGTTTGACGCGCGTTTGTTCATCTTCACCAATTAAAAAGTAAGTGAGTTGTTGCCCTTTTCCCTTCATGGTGACATAACCACGTTCTTCCATGATGTAACCACCTAATTCATCTAATAAATGCTTTGTGGCCTCGCTGCAATGAATCTTGAGAGCTACAAAATTAACAAACAAAAATTATTTAAATTTTTGGCATTTATCTAGAATTAAGTTTTAACAACTCAATATATCAGCGTATTTACTAATTTTTATCATTTTATCAATAAATTAATCATACTCTTCAACATTGTTTTTTCAAGCCTACAATAAAGCAATGGTTTCGATAGAGTCACAATATGCGATCGGGGTAATCATGTTTCAACTCAAGGTTTTAATTTCATATCCTTCAATATTTTAATTTTTGACGTTTTAATACAGTTAGATAACATCTCGTTGAATTTGGAACCAATTTGTTCTTAAATAATTAATACTTCTACTTACGTAGACCCGTTGATTCCATCCTGGACGCAGTATTAACCGTATCCCCAAATAGGCAATATCGCGGCATTTTCAATCCTACTACACCTGCGCACACCGGACCTATAATTTCATAAGAATTGTTTAAAAAACAAGAAATTATTCAAATATTTCTTAATGAAATTTCTTAATAAAAACCTGTGTGAATTCCTATACGCAAGTTTAGCCTATCTTCTGGTCTGTGTCTAATGCGAAACTTGTCGATTGCTCTCAATAGATGGAGAGACATTGTAGCAATTTCGGCCGCGTGTAGATTTTCATTTTTTATTGGCAAGCCGGATACAACCTTACAAAGTTTGATTAGTTTTAAATTTTCAATAATAATATAATACTTGAGACAAAAATGTTGGACTTTTTTAATGAATATCGCACAAGTTATAAATAAGCAAATTAAAAAAATATATATACTTATGTATATATGAACACAAATTATTTATTTGTCATGTAATAATTTATATTACCATGTAAGCATCTCCAATTGTTTCCACTTTGTAAACATCATAATTGCCAATTATGGAATCGAAGCAAGTATACAAGTCGTTCAAAAAATCTACAACCTGAAATATGATGAAATTTAATAAATGGAGAATATGTATGTTCTATTATATAAATTCGACCTAATTGCATTGCACTCTGTTTTTTAAAAGATATAATGGAAATATGTAAATGCACTTTTTAGTTGCAATACTTGCTATTTTTTTACTGAACAGTAAACAACTTAATGATATAAAGTCATCATGAAAATGGAAATGCCATTATTTTTCACTTATGCAATTTCCTAAAGTTCAAAACTTTTTATTATAGAAACTACTAATATCTAAAAATCTATAAAACAAAATTAATGATATTTGGAAGAATTAATTCCATTTTAATTAAATAAGGAATAAAAAAGAGAAAAATTTAACTCCAAATTAGTATATAAATATAAATTAAATTATTTCTCTAAATGAACACTCTCACTTTCTAGGCCAATTATACGTCATTAATTCTATGATTGATAGTATAAAAATATGGAATCAATTTGTCACAAATTTCAAGCATATACGATGGACAAATTTATGTATATTTGTAAACAAATTCTGATGATAAATTTTATCTTAAACACTAGACAACATAAAATCGATTTCTAGATATTATTACCTGTAGTGGTGTACTTTGTGCAGACATTTCTGTGAAACCAACGATATCACTGAAATAAATGGAAACTTCATCAAAACTTTCTGCTTCGACTTTGTTGTTTCGTTTTAATTGCTCAGCCACTGGTCGGGGAAGCATTTCGTATAGAAGCAAATCTACAATATTGATCAATTTGAAATTGAAAAACGCATTATAATGCAATAAAACAATATATTGAAATATATATACATATTTTTATAATAAATCTATTTCCAACCTAACTTTTCGCAAAAGGGTCCTTTCCTTTTTCATAATCAAAAACGCATCAATTTTGTAAGCAATATCAATACTGGCTGAAAGCAATTTCCTTTCTGATCTTTTATCGCCCTAAAATGGTGATAGTGATATTATCGCGCCGAGTAGGAAATACCAAAGAAACTTGGTTAGGGCGACTTACAAGAGTTGTTGCTGGTAAATTGATAAAGTGAAGTAAACTAGATATGTAATACAAATTTGTTTTCCGATTTATCTGTATCGGAATAGATTACGTTATAGCAAATTTATTACAAACAATAACTCGATATTGATGTCTTTTTTACTGCTCTGTTAAACTATTCTAATTCCATGCTTACGTATTAGTCTTTTATATTGTCAATGAGACAAACTATACCAAACTATATATTTATAATACTATATATTTATAAATGTCTAGCATTAATAATGCTAAGTCCACAATTTCTTAATATTCAGTGATAATGACCTAAAATAACATGTCGAAGCAAGTATAAAAATAAAGATTCTCTTCTTTCATCTTTCTTTTTTCATCTAGTGTATGCCATCCAAAATTTCTATTTTCCAATCTTGAGCATATATTTTATTAATACGGCTAATTGAAAAATACATTCATCGGTTGTAAGTTAACTTTATTCACCGTCCTCTAGTCATAGTATCCAACAAATAAGAAAAATGATTTTAGTTATTTTGTTTTTTTATGTAATGCTTTAGAATATGGTCATTCTACGCAAAATTTGCAATTTTATCCACTTTTTGTGTTCACTATTACTGCAATATGAGGTCAAAAGCTCTAATATAATTTCAATGTAATTAATTGCAGGTGGCATATCCGATTATCCTCATCTCAAACTCTTATAATCTCTTGCGGCCATTAAATTAATTAATTCTGAACTAAAACTCAGTTATTAAAGTTTAGTTCAAGATGATAAAAAAATAATAAAATCTGTTTTCAAAGAAACTCACATATCGGGATAGTTTACCTGTTTTTTTCTTCTCCTCTTGTAGTTGATCAGTTCTTTCGTCGACTAATTGTTCTAAGTTATTCGCGTACTTCTCCATCATTGCCATCATATTGTCAAATATATTAGGTCTCCTAATTTATAATAAACAATAATTTATATAATATATAATAGTACCTACTGCAGTTATTAGATAAGTTATTCAATACTAACATTCCTTTTCTAAGTGGTCTCAGTTTGGTCCTTATTGTTTTAAAATCTGGTCTTAATTCCGGATTTTCATTCCAACATTCCATCAAACATTCACGCACGCAGTCGAAGCTATTTTCTAATGGTTCTAGTGGTGGCCTACATCGATAGTTATGAGGAAAAATTGCATATAAATCATTTTATTGAAATCTTAAAGCAGGTTTCAAAAAGTGTTTTAATCTCTTATTATAAAATTTCTTACTAAAAAATTATATAAATTTCATTATATAATGTTTCAATGTGAAAAGTAAAAATACTAGTAACTGAAAGCTGAGGCACAAGATAAGAAAATATGGAAGCAGAAGCTTGCAAAGAAAAATGTGTAAAACTATTTATAAAGTATTTAATAGTAATAAAATGGTAATGCGAATTATAAATAAGTAAGGGAAAGGAAATTGTTAATTTGTGTTGGCTCACACATCATGGCTTCTGGCAGACTGACATTTATTATTATTATTATTATTCAATGTTTATTTTTGTTTAAATCAATTTAAATATTAAACAAACATTCATCAATAAAATAAATTGTATAATTATATATGAAAATTGTTTTACATTCAAAAAAATCTAACATATTTTCTGCATGAATTGTGAATGCTATGTATTGAATATTTATATACATCAAAGGTGAAAGTCAAATGATTCCTCACCTATAGGGTTCACCATTTTGCGAAGAATTTATCAAACGATAAATCGTCTCATCAAAAGACATGTTGTTTTCTCCATATGGTCCTTTTCTCGTGTGTATCTCATATAAGATCAGGCCGAAGGAATACACATCCCCTTTCTGACTACCAAATAGAGGGTTTGTCGTAACACTCTGAAATTTTCCGGCTCTTAATAACTCGGGTGCGCGGTATATTAGTCCTGAAACTGTTTAGGAATGTTAAATTATATAACTTTTAGGGTTATTGAAAATGAGAAATGGTTAACTTTTCATTCGGTAAGATCAATACTCTTTGGTTCACTTAAGAAATATATACTTCTGCTTTCAATTCACGAGATTTCCTAAATTTACTTGTTTTATAAATTTGACTTAAAACATTTATTATTAGAAAGATTTAAAATTTAAAACGTTGTTGATGTTACGCGAACTTTGTACTAATTACAATAAATACTTATTAATATTTTTACATCTATATTATTGATTTAGAAAGTCCAATTTGCTCTTTAAATTACCTTTATGTTTTCCGTCATATTTTACATGTTCTGCTTCCACGTCTTGGCCAGCTTTGAACAGATGCAAGCCAAAGTCAGAAAGTTTAAGAACCCATCGAGAGTCCACCAAACAGTTTGAGCAACACAAGTTGCCATGAAAACGTAAAGGAGATTCGTGTAAATATATCATTCCCTATAATTAATTAATAATTAAACACATAATTTAAATAAGCATCTATCTCGATACTTTCAATCAACTTACCCTAATGATATCACCAACCAATGATGCTATGAACATATTATCCAATTTTACGTCTTCGTTTTCAAGTATGTCCTGAAGCAGAGTATTAAAATTTTCTTAATAAATTATAATAATATTAATATTTTATAATATTAATAATTTATATTAATATTTGAAAATACATTCTCGTCGAAATTTTTATGCAAATCAAATCTTCAAAACTTCAATAATATTTTTATATTTTAATTAAAATAGTAAATTCACTATCAAAGTATATTTTATTATACTATAACATTTTAATCATCAAAACTTATGGAAAACCGTAAATTTCCATTTTCACAAAATACTTCTAAGCTCTATCTAATCAGGAATATTCTCACTCCATATGTCTATTCGATTAATTCAAATAGTCAAATTATTTATTGAAATTTTCTGAAAATTTTTCCATCAAAAGGAGTTAAAGGTGTAAAAAATTCATTATATTGAAATGGAAGACATGGTCAGAAACTAGCAAAAATATGAGTTTTTCAAATTCAGGTCATTTCATTTTAGTTCTGATAGCTGCAATTGGTTATAATATACGATTAATTGAAGTGCCTTATAAAATTTTTAATATTTGTTTTGAAAGTTTTTAGAACATACAGAATCTGAACGTATAAATCAAATAATTTCTACCTCCACATTTTCAGAAATTTCAACACAGCACAGATGAAAAATCAATTATCATGATAAATAATCATTTGAACTCATTGACTTGCAATATAATAATAATTGGGTCAATGTATATACAATGTATAAATTGGGTTTGCTCTGGTAAACTAATTATAACATACTAAAAAATATTTCACTAAAAAAATCATTATTTTTAATATACTAGTAATGATGTATTTTGATGTATTCAATACTATTTGTAATATTATTATATCAATAAAAATGTCATTTTACAAAATTTTGGTAATTTATTAAGAAAAAAGATTTTATAAAATCGATGAAACACATGGGCGACCAGCGATTTCATGATGGGCACATATTAGAATTTTTTTCTTTATAATTGAATTTTAATATAAGTACATTTTAAAAGCTTATTTTACTAATAATAAACCTACTGTGGGAAATATATAGACTTCTTCATTAGGAGGCGTTCTAGTAAATTTGATAGTTTTATATTTTATTTTCTCAAACGTAAATTATTATTAAATCACGGGCACATCATTTTTAATCATTTTTTAACATATTACCAAATGAATGTGCAAACAGACACTTTTCCAGCAAAATTATATATTTTAAATTTCAATTATTAGACTAGTACTAGCAATTAATACTGAAAATTCCAAAATATTAGTACTAATACAATTATTTTACTTAAAAAACTGGGTACAGTATATTTTACGTTGTTCTATAAAAATAACTAAAATAGAACAAAAAATTAATATATAACTTATTAATTTACGTTCTTTTTTCATTTCACGTGTCAGGTCGATGCTTTTCTTATATATATATATATATATATATATATATATATATATATATTCTTTATAAAATAATGCACGAAAAGTGTATAAGTGAAAATATCAGGCGATCGCCCGTCACTCACCCTCAGGCTTCCCCTGTTGCAGTACTCGCTCAGTATACAGATATCTGGGGATTCTGTGCAAGCACCGATGAACTGATTCAAATTATCGTGCCTGATGTCACGCATCTGTACATAAATGCCAAATTTAAAATTTATTGTGAAATATTACTTCATGTCAAACGGGCTGTGAATGACAGACCGACACGTATGAAGAGCATAAATAAAAAACATTGAATATTCTTCATGTCGTACCCTTAATGCATAATATTTTTTAAGATCACGTAAAACGAATTTGTCATGCACAACAATATTTTAAATCTCATAAGATCACACATAGTATATTCATAAGGAAAGCATGTGCTTAAAATTATTTTTTGTTCTAAATGTCACTTGACTTGTACAGGAAAAAATTTAAAAAAATTACTAAGATGTTAATAAGACTTTTACTAGCAATTAATACTTAAAAATTCCAAAATATTAAAGTTAATACAATTGTTTTATTTCAAAAAAATTGGGTACCATATATTTTAAAAAAAAACGAGAAAGAAAAAGAAAATATTGATATGTTGAATCGAGTTGCAAGAAAAAATACATGTTCTATAAGAATAATTAAAACAGAAAAAAATATATATATATTACTTACTAATTTAAGTTCTTTTTTCATTTCACGGGTCAGGTCGATACTTTTCTTCCGAATCTTTTTGATCGCGACAATTCGGCCTCTATATAAACCTATATTTTGAAGAGATATAAGAGTTTTAACTAAATATGAATGTAAATGAAGGCGGTAAATCTTGACAATATTAAACATTAAATATAATAAAAATAGAATTTAAAGTTTTTATTTTTTTTGTTCACGTAAATATACAAAAGACTTTTCAATTTATAAAAATATAAAGCTATTAAATGTTGTTTTAATTATTTTATCACAGAATTTTTGAAAGTTATATTATATCTACTGTTATATCAATATTGTTGTGAATTAAATAGCTTGTGAATTGAATCTCAATTTGCATTATGGGTTGTTAAGATTTTGATCATATTTCTTTATCTATCATAATTAATTTAAATTTTTGGATATTACGATTCATTACACTAATGATATTTTAATTTATTTATTAAATTCAAAATATAATTCAAACCTTACCTATAGGTGTAAAAATAGCTGAATATCGAAAATCCGCATCGGGATTTGAACTTAATGATACCTGACTTGTTCTTACTAATGGATGATTTGCCTGTAAAACAAATAAATGGTTTTAACGGTAACAAATTATACGATATATATTTAATACACATTATATTAGCTAGCATATGAAATTAAATATAAGCGCATCAAAGTGGGGTATAAACAGGTTGACCTACATATTTCAAATGTCCTTTCGCTAATGATTTATTTCATACATAGTATCAGTAAAATCAAATAATTAATTCTTTTAGAAACAACAAATAAACAAAAATTCATTTAAATCTGAATCTTAATTGCACGGTCGCATACGTTTTTTTGGAAAAAGTTGACGAAACTATACCGTAAAAATAAAGTATACGTAAAAATATTGAAAATGTAATTTCCGATTTATGATCGATTTCGAAAACTTGTTGTACTAAGAGTTACGATTATCGACTACTAACTCTTGGCAAAATGTCAAATGATATTAAAACTTTTCCGGACATGATTCGTATAATAACATTCTTTTGGCACATATATGGAAAAATCTAAAAGCCAATCGCAAAATTAGGAGGACAGGATTGAAATATATTTCTAAATTTTATGAATGTCAACGAACATGCATAAGTGGATAACTTTTTCGATAATAAAAGGAAAAAAGCTTGCGGAGAAATGTGATTTGGTAAAAACAATTGATGAAAATAAAATATCGTTAAATGAATATAATGTTTCTGTTGATTTATTTTATTGGACCAACTATATTTTATTTTCACTAATTTTCTCTCCAAAAATGTTTTTGGAGCTTTGGCAACAATTAAATGATTAGAATGCTACTTTAAAATCTTATATATTTCATATATTAGGCATACAATTGTGCCAAAAACATGTGTGTTTGTAGGAAATTATTAACTTCTTGTAGGGTAAGTTATTGTAATCGTCCAAAAATTGAAATTGAAAATTTGTGCTTTTCTCGACGTTTTGAAGGTTTATGAACATTTTGCCATACCTCAGCGCACGGATCAACCGATTTGAATGGTTTAAAAAACATTCGATTCCTATTGATAGGGAGATGTGCTGATTAGTTTTTGGCAAAGGCAGGTCTAGCAGAAACGAAAATAAAGAGCAAAGAGTGCAAAAAATAGAAATCGAGTTTTTGAGAGAACGGAGCATCCGATTTGAATGATTTAAAAAACATGCAATTTGTAATGATTGGGAGAAGAGATGATTAGTTTTTTGCAAAGGCAGGTCCAGCCATTTCGAAGATACAGAGCTAAATTTTAAAATTTAAACAAATATTTCCAACTTTGCAATTCAGTTTATATATTGCAATATTTATAAAAATCTATATGAAAACATTTAATATTCCTCGAACATTTCGTTACGGTACGGAAGTTCCAGCAATTGCCTTAAGTCACGTTGCCATACACCTCACTAGTTGAAATTAATTTGCATGTAATTTTACCTTTGCTATGAAAATGAAAATACCTACATTATTACTGTGTGCAAGTCTATATTTTAAAAATAAATTTAATGTTAAAGTATAAAATAATAATTAATGTGTAATAGTAATAACTTATATTTCATATAGAGCATTTTACGACTAACAGCTGTAACTAGAAAAAAGTATATTTTTGTTGGTTGAATATAAACATCAACGTTAAACATTTAACGATCTAGTATTATGGCCTCAAAATAATTTCATGTTTTAGCAGTATATTTTTATAGATGTTCTTTATGTTTACACTGAATAACGTTCTTTTTTTGTTTTATAACAAGTACATTTAAAAGCATTAAAACGATATATAAAATTATAATAAATATTATGAGGTATATGGAACAAAATATTCCTAACTTTAAAATCGTTGACGTAAATCTGAACAGAATAGTTACACGATGAAGTAGTTTTAACCGTTTGCTTATTAATATAAAAAATTGAATTTCTTATGAAGATATGTAGAGAAACTACTGAAGTAGTTTTAATCGTTTGCTTATTAATAAAAAAAAATATAATTTCTTATGAAGATATCTTGAGAAGTTACTTGCAATATTTTTTTATATTTTTTTCTTTTATTTATATTGAGTTAATAAGTATAAATGGGTATAGTAAGTAGATAAAAGTTTGAAAATAAATTGGAGAGTCTAATGTCAATTAAGAATGGAAGCTAAAATTAAAACTGTAGAATAATAAATTGATTTTTTGCAGAAGAAATGTTGATGGTCTTAGTGAAAATATTCTGAAAAAACTGTACTTACTCACTTGCTCCTTAAATAAATAAATATCGTTAATAGTCGCGTAAATGGAAAAATCGCACCAGAAAAATGTGAAAGGCATAATTTATCTCTACTCACCCGTGTGATTTTCGCCGTGGTTGTGTTTTTCTGTTTTCTGGAATCATCTTGGTCGTCTTTAGCGCCGTTGGCTCCGCTGAGCTGTATTTCGCGGAAATCTATTTTCCACAAGAGATTATCAAGCTCCTGTTCGTAGCGCCAATTCCTGTATGCTATCAGGGAAATGATCACGACACAAGTGATTATCACGCCCGTTACGCCGCTTGCTATCTCTGTTGTGTGGTCTGGGGGTGGAAAATACTGCATTTGAGCCTGTTTTATACGATGACAGGAATAATAGAATATTATTTACTAGTATTCAAGATCAGTAGGTGATTGTATGTAAATGGAGAGAAGGTTTTAATTAAATGCTGGAATAGGAAATTACATTTTTATAATTATTCAAATAATCTACCCGGATACTAAATACTCTGGCACCCTAATGAAATCTTTAAATTCAAAACCAAGTTCAAAAACTTTAACATTTATCATTCAAACCTCCGCAGTTCTGCAAGGTTTGGTCTTGCAATCTGGGGTTCCAGGTTTGATACCCACCTCGTATAGCCTGATATCAAGCAGTAATTATATCAGTTTTTATTTGAGAAGTTTACATAAGTGTAACGTTTTAAAAATTCAACAATTTCACTAATACTCACTGACGCATTTTTCATTTTGAAATCCACAACGAGGTTCTGCTACTGGTGGACCATCACCAATCCAATGTATTTCTTCTAATAACCTTAATTCCTATCGAAAAATTCATGAAGAAATATATTTTTGTTAATTGCAATTTTAATATGTATCACAATTTTTCATTATTTGAGTATGTATATTATTATATTACCGGCACTCCAGTATGATGCTCATTTAGTATAAAGTCACCGATAGGATATAAACCAGAATTTGTAGTATTGTTTTTGAAGCCAACAATTGTGTAGTTACCCATTGCATCTGCATTTTCGTCCATATACACCATATATCTAAAAATATGAAATAAATAGGTATTACACATTATAAATCATTACCTTCATCAAGAAAATCTGAATTTAATTGAAATAAGTTTTGTTTTGAAAGCATATATCAAACTAATAAGAAATAGGTTTATGTTTACGAGTGCGGGTCGATTTAAAGGTCACTTAGGCACATATGATTTTCGGATTCTAGGCATCAAAATAAGATACTTTTTTCAAGAAACCATACCTCTAAAATGAATTCTGATGTCCTGTGCATTGGCCCAAATATAAGAGTTCAATTTTGAAAAACCTCTCAGGGGGGGGGGGTTCCAGGGAGTGAACCACGGGTATGGGTGAATCGGCCTCCAAAGTTAGTGGGGATCGGTCATACATTTGGACGCAATTGGCACTATGAATGGGACAAAATAGAATTTCTTAAATTTTAACCCTTATTTTTGGGTAGGTGCACGGGACATCCGAATTCATTTTAGAGATATGGTTTCTTCAGCAAAATATCTTATTTTGATCCCCAGTATCCGAAAATCATATGTGCCTATGCGACTTTTTTTGACCCATACAAATCGACCCGCTCTAATGTTTACATAACGTCACTTCACCTTTTTGTTGAATTGATTATATTGTAAAAATCGATCGGATCTAATTCAAAGTTTTATTTTTTGTTTGCGATTTTAACTTTAAAGTTTTATTTAACTTACAAATCTTAATAAGAAATAAAAGAAAAAAACGGATTTTCTGCTGTGTGTAACATATATATTAAATAATAGATTTAACTAATTTTTAGATTTATTTCTTACTCACCCCATAGCACTCATATAATGTTTTCTTTTGACAGCTTCAATTATTTCAATACCATCTCTTGTATCGCCGCCGTTTTCAATTATTTGCATTAATGCACGTGAATAAATATGTACGGCATCATACAAATAAGCAGCCTCTGCTCTTATCTTTCATTAAAAAAAATATTAAAAATATTATAATAATATTATTACAAGCTTAATATCTCCATGATATACATAGTGAAATGCATTCCAAAATAAATTTTACTAGATTTATTTCTAGTCTATGGCGACAGTTCATATGAATCATTAATGAATTTTTGAATTATTTATAAATAATTTATGAATGTACAAGGCAACCAACGAGCAATGACGTGTTTCTTTATTTAATGTAATTTATTATTAGAATTTTTCTAATAGTTATGGTTTTATATTTGATACAGCATTTCCAGGAAAAGTTTGTTTTTGCTTGAAAACATAACTAGAACTAGGATGCCCTCTCCATGAATAAAAAGGTGTCATGAAAATAGATAATAAAGGCATTCCAAAGCAAAGATCAAAACAGAAATATCAACAAACCATACGTTTACATTTTCAAAACTCTTCAACGAAATAATGAACAATTATATCTGAATAATAACGCCAGAAGGCGCAATAATTTTGGGAAACTAATACTATTATAAATAAATTAAAAAATAATAAGCCGAATATCATAATTACTTACAGTTTTCGCTCCTCCTATAGCAGCTAATGGATTCGGATAGTTAAATGGTGGTAGCTCTAAGTAGTGATTTACTTTTCGAGCAAAATCTTTTTGATTTTTTGGGGCTGTGGCCATTACCAGAAAATAACAGCGGAACGCTTCGAATGAACGTTTATCTGGCTTTTTCTATAACAGAGAAAAATACGTTAATTTATCATAAATAATTGAATATATTAGTCGAGGTTTCAATATCAATTGCCTATTAAATGGTTGCGAAATTTTAAGAACCATACATAAAATTATAAACTAACAACGAACAAATTCTCAAATGAATGTGTAGCACCTTAAATCGGTTTACGATATTCTGAACATACTAATTTAACTTTAAATATTTATAAAAAAATAATTTTATCCAGAGATTTTTTATTAAAATAAATTTAGAAATCTTAATTTTGATACAAGATTCTTTTAAATATTAATCTTAATCTTATTTTTGAACAGTAATCAGAACTTAACTGTAGGCTGGCTGATGTGATCATTCTCCTTAACTACTTTAGCTTTTAAAGAAGGCAACTTTAGAAGGCTACTTAACCGGTTGACCTCATTATATTTCATATAATTTTATTATAAATTTTTTTTAATTTGATGCAGCAATGCTGGAAAGAGGCTATTTCCAATTGAAATAATACTTACAATTAGATCTAAATTTCGAGAACGCATATCAGTAGTACTCGATATGAAAGCTCTTAATATAATTGTAGTTTTAATAAATTATTTAAAAGGGGCTGTTTTCACTTGAAATCATAATTAGATCTAAATTTTCAAGTGAAAACGAATATCAATATTGCTAGATATCAGGTTGGCCTATGCGAAAACTCCTACGATGGATCCTTTTTAAAAAATAAAATATGTTACTGATGCTGATCTAAAATTTTGCCTATAGTTTCAAATGTATCACAATTATTTATAATAATATACTCATTCTTACCTGCAATAATCCGTGAAGATATTTATAAGGATCCTCCGGATCATACTGTTCTATATCGACTCCTAGAACCCAATACTGTCCTGTAAATATTAACATATTCTATAACAAATTAATTGACTATTATAAATTAATTTTCAGATGTGTCCATTATCATTATCACATTACCTGTATCGCACAATCGTAGTTCATCCATCGCCATTAACAAGCCAATGTGCTCATACTGGTGTCCTACTATCACGTAAACTGAAATTATGCAATTTAATTGATGGAGTCTTTATAGTCACGTTTAATTGCAATTTAAACATTTTATATCTTTATATCGCAATTTGTTATCGAAATGGGCATTAAATGCCGAGAGATGGGAATTGAGATAAGGCAATTAATATATTATATTATGTTCGTTTACGTAGTCGGAAGATTCGTGAAAGTGTTTGTTTGAAATAAATTTTATTTTATTCATATTTTATTAAATTTCATTTTAAGAATCAAAATTAAAATTAACACAAAACTTTCAACAATGATTATCAATTTACTATAGTTCGAGTAAAACTGTTATTGTTACTTAACACTAACAGTTTTCTTACATTTTTAGTATGTATTTAGTAGTAATGTTAGTAAGGGGCGTAGCGTTCCTCTGAAGGGCTCCATATCAAAATTCGTTTGTGGGCCTTCTTAAGAAGGATAAATATTCCTCATAAACTTAAAAAATACATGCAATTAAAAAAACATTTAATTAAGTGATTTTTTTGCAAATTCACTCTCTTTGCCTTTTATCAAAAAACTGATTTATGATTAATGAATTAGGAGAAATGATTCTTCATTTTTTTTAAAAGTTTCTGCCTCTAAAGACAATAATTGCATGTCTGACAGATTTTTCTATTTTTAACTTCTTAGGTTTTTTATAAATAGTTTAATTTTGAGAAAAAAATTTAGCAGTTGCTGGAAATTTTGTAACAAAGATTTGATAATAAAATACATGCTGCTATTATGTCGGGAAAACTGGCTGCAGGACTATTGAATTTTATTATCAATAATAGTGCATAGTTCTTACATTATTAGTAGTCTTAAAAACTTTTACTTTGATAATATATAATTCAACAAATAATACGTAAATGAATAGATAAAAGGTTAACTATATTTTTAATGAATGGAGATATTAAGATGTTATGTTGTAGAGGCTAATTTACGATATCGTATTCCATCTACAGAATATTTCCATTTTCATAATAATCATTAGTTATTGTCTGAAAAATCAGATACAACAATTATATATGTGAATATTATTTTCTTTTGAAATGAAAAAATCGAATCTAAAATGTTTCTGATATGATCAAAACTTATTTTCTTCAAAACTAAATCTTCTAATTAACTAAATAGTTGCTAAAAATAGTTAACTAATTTTAAACTTACTTTCTTAAATGTTTGAAATCATCCTTAATATATTTTATTTGTCGATTAAAACTTGAATAAATTATAAAATATATCATAAACATTGACAAATAGATTATAAATAATTAAACTTACTTCTTGTGTCATCTTTAGTTTGTTGAACAATTTTGGTAAATGGATTTTCAGTATATCCATGATGGTATTGCTGAGGCCATGTAGAAATCTGACGTATATTAATACCTGATTATCAAAATAATCTTATTAAAAGATAATTATATTTTTTGTTAGTCTCATTGATTGAGATGGATGTATTCCTAACATGATAGCAAATTAATTTGGCTTGTGCCAGTTAATATAATGAATGGAATGCCACGAAGTTAAGAAAATATAGATAAGATGGAGTCTTTCAGAAGGATGTGGATAATTAATTAAATGGGGCAGCCTGTAAAAGGAATTTAATGAATGATTGCAATAGTTCAGGATTAGAAACAGTCGACTCCGTTGACAAAATTAGGTTAATGGAATTTTTCAAATAATTATTTAAAGCATCATGGTAGTATATTAGCTACAAGGAATAAGGATTAACGTATTGTAATAAATCATCCATGAATAAATCATATATTTATGTAAATCAATATATATGTCGTATATAGTATATTTCTCAAAAAGTCATAATAAAAATCGAGTAAAATAAGAGTCAAATCACAAATTAATTTGAATCACAGCGTAAAAGTTTGTGCGTTATATTTTTATTTTTATTACAGCGTTGTATTTGAGAATAAAATTTCAAAAATAAACCCGAATCTTTTTATGCATTTTAACAATATATTATATTATGTATTATATTTTTCTAAGGGATAAATATTCAAATAAAGCATATATATATATTTATTTTTGAAAAAATATTTATTTATTTTCTAATTATTTGCCACGTTTTCTCCAGTAACTATTAAAGATAAACCAAAAAATTGCATACATCTGTATACAGTTTGTCAATTTTTTATCAATTTGAATTATTGAAACCAGACTTTTTTCCTAATTATACTCTAAAATTACAAATTCATTTTCCTAACTAAAATCTTTCGCTTCGGGCACTAATTAACATTAATATTTTACCGGACCTAACAGACTCACATTTAATTTAAAGATATTATGAGAAGTTAATGTGGTTGGAAGTTAGTTATTAGAACAATTTATTATAGAAAAATGATTTTTATAGCGTATGATAATGATTTTATAAAGAATTGCTTTCGGGCAGTAAATGCATTAATTACCACTAATATTTTACCGGACCTAACGGTCATAATTAATTTAAAAATATTATGTGAAGTAAATGTAGAAGGTCATAAAATTAACAAAAAAAAGTATAACATTTAAGTATTTTTTTCTAACCTGCATCTTCATTATTTGTTAATTGATCTATTATGTTTTGAGCAACCAGACCAAAATCTGTATCTGGTCCAGACATGTGAAGAAACGAAATCTGAAAAATTATTTTATAAAATGTAATTAAGCTAATACTATCTTAAACTTGTTCATCTATAAATACTATGCTAAAATATTAACTATTATATTTTAGGCATGGGGTGTAAGTTCTTGGAATTGCATATAATACAAAAACATTTATTTAATAAATATTATCGTGGACAGAAGTACTCAAATGAATTACCAGTGGCGTAACTATAGGGTGGCGTGGGTGGCAAAATGCCACGGGCCCCCGGCCCAAGGGGGCCCCGGCCCAAGAGGACGCGCGCTCAGAAATATTGTCTTTACATTATACTCTAATACTTTATTTCACTTGAAAGTATGTTTTCGTAAGAATCAGGGGCGTAACTACCGCCGTGTCAGCCGTATCAAATATACGGGGCCCCCGAACCAGGGGGCCCCCAACGTCTGTAGGAAACATTAATAATATAAAAAAATAATAAAAAACGAATTAATCATGAAAACTTCGTTCAATCAAATTTAATGTCGTTAAAAAAGTACGCGAAAAATGTAAGATTATTATTTGAAAGAGTTTTATTTTGTCCAGGTCACGGGGGCCCCAAATACGCGTAAAAAAGTACGCGAGGAATGTAAGATTATTATTTTAAAGAGTTTTATTTTGTCCAGGTCACGGGGGCCCCAAATACGCGTAAAAAAGTACGCGAGGAATGTAAGATTATTATTTTAAAGAGTTTTATTTTGTCCAGGTCACGGGGGCCCCAAATACGCGTAAAAAAGTACGCGAGGAATGTAAGATTATTATTTTAAAGAGTTTTATTTTGTCCAGGTCACGGGGGCCCCAAATACGCGTAAAAAAGTACGCGAGGAATGTAAGATTATTATTTTAAAGAGTTTTATTTTGTCCAGGCCACGGGGGCCCCAAATACGCGTAAAAAAGTACGCGAGGAATGTAAGATTATTATTTTAAAGAGTTTTATTTTGTCCAGGTCACGGGGGCCCCAAATACGCGTAAAAAAGTACGCGAGGAATGTAAGATTATTATTTTAAAGAGTTTTATTTTGTCCAGGTCACGGGGGCCCCAAATACGCGTAAAAAAGTACGCGAGGAATGTAAGATTATTATTTTAAAGAGTTTTATTTTGTCCAGGCCACGGGGGCCCCAAATACGCGTAAAAAAGTACGCGAGGAATGTAAGATTATTATTTTAAAGAGTTTTATTTTGTCCAGGCCACGGGGGCTCCAAATACGCGCAAAAAAGTACGCGAGGAATGTAAGATTATTATTTTAAAGAGTTTTATTTTGTCTAGGCCACGGGGGGCCAAATACGCGTAAAAAAGTACGCGAAAAATGTAAGATTATTATTTTAAAGAGTTTTATTTTGTCCAGGCCACGGGAGCCCCAAATACGCGTAAAAATTAGTAAAATCTAACAAATTTTGGTTTTATTTCACTAATAACAAAAGTTAGAATAAACATGAAAATTTTCTTCTAAATAAATTTAATTTCGAGAAAAAAAAACATGAGCGTGTAAGAATGTAAAAATATAATTTTAGAGTGTTGTGATTTTTTTTTAAATATTTTTTAACGCGTGAAAAATTGATTGGTAATGTTAGGTTATGTAATAATTATTTTTAACCCCAAAGTACTATGTTCTTTCTCTGTTGAATTCAGTCATAAAAAAAATCCTTTCTATAGTTCATGTATTACAATGTTTAAACACAAAAATTTTATGTTTGATTTTCAAAACACAGTAGTAATTGTACTTTTAAATTATTAATTTTGACTTATAATTATGTTTATTTTTATGTTTTTTTTGTACTTATACATTTTATTTTTTTTTTAAATTTTTGTATACATACATTTTAAATAATTTCTAATTTTAAATCCATAAAATATGAATAAGTCGAAGTAGATTTACTCATTTTCAATACAAATCATTACAAATCGTGGATATTTAAATCAACACATTGAAAAATTTCGAGTTTAAACATTTAAATCAACACGTTGAAAAATTTCGAGTTTTTTTAAGTTAAATTAAAACCACTTGATTTTACTGATGGGGGGGCCCCATCAAAAAAAATTGCCACGGGCCCCGGATGGCCTAGTTACGCCACTGTGAATTACTACTAAATTTAAATTGAGGCATTGAAACGCAAAGATAATAAAAAAAAAGTTACTTTCAATGTTTTCAAAGGTGGTTATTTTTTGAGAAATTGTATTAATTCTTCTAACTCTTGTGTTAACTATGAGAAATTCTTTTTTCCGCGAATTGATTCAACAGATAGCGCTAGCTTGCTCGGTATTCTGGGCAGCCCAACACACGCCGCACTGTTACACCCAGGTGAGGATAAAATAAAACTGATTTGTCGGCTCGGCACTCTGGTTTCCCTTCAGAGCGAATAAATCTTTCGCCTTTTACTAAAGATTTCCGTGGAGGGGAGCACTCAAATGAGTATATAACTCAATTTTTTGTGTGCCCGGCGATTTAATTCGCTGGGCCAATAAACTATATTAAATAAAACATACTACCTGTGTAAAAAAATAATTTCTTTAATTATTACGTTCAAAAATCGAAATTTAAAATTGCTTATGCTCACGTTTCGAAGGTTTCTAAACACCTTGTCTGACTTGACTTGATTATTACATTTATTAGAAAATTATATTACATTAGAAGAATGTAAAATTAAAATGAATGTATGTATTTGCGGATACAATTTTTTGCTGATGATTTCGAGAGCATCGATCAACGAACTTGAATTATTTGAAAAGTATTCCATTCTTATTGACAAGAAGACGTGCTGATTAGTTCTTATTCTTGGCAAAAGTTGGACCAGCCGTTTCGACGATACTGAGCAAATAGTACAGAAAATGGCAGTTAAGTTTGTGAGAGAACGAAGCCTAACAATATTAGTATATGATATTTCCATACTAAATTGGAGCGGAGCATCCAATTTCAATGATTCAAAACATATTCTACTTGTATTGATGCAAGTTGATTAAATTCTTGCATAAGCAGAACGAGCGGTTTTGGAGATCTACAAAAAAAAGTTTCAAAAAAATGTCATTTGTTGATCGAAAATTAGATATTTTCGACAGTATGGATCAACCGACATGCTGGGTATCAAAAACTTTCAACAAATTTCAAAATTAAAAAAAAAACAGTTTTCAGAAATTTTCTAATTTGTCAAAATATATTAGTATTTAAAAAATCACGTTTTCACTATGCAAAAAAATTCTCAAGATAAATCTAAATTTAAAAAAAAAATAAGATACGGGAAGTTCGGGCAATTTGCCTTATAGCGCGATACCATGCACCACTAGTTTGTGTTTCAATTATATTAGTATAAAGAAAATGATTATTTTTCATGCAGAAATTCTTTTAATACATCTATATCTCAGTAGAATATAATAATGATTATATAATAATAGTAAATTTATATATCTTATCTGATATATCAATTTAGTTACCTGTGTCCAATTAAAATGTCTCAGCACAGCTAGTACAGATTTTGAAATTTGAGTATCGGGAGGCCTAGTTCTTGCGAATGTTGGAAAGTCCATCTTGTTGGAGCTTAGAGCATTCGTACAGAACTAAATAATGAAAATCAGCTTATTATAACAATACATTCATAATAATTGAAATAGAAATTATATAGGTAACATTAAATTTTTATAAAATCAAATATAATGTAAAATGTTTATGCAATATGTGTATTTATACATATGCGGTTGCAGATTTGGTGGCTTTCGTTGTCTTTGTGATAAAAACAAATTAGAACACGATCAGAAAAATTAAAATTTATTTGATAAAACTCAATGATAATTTTCGTGTATTAGTTTATACGTTATAATTATATTTTAAGAATATTTTTTTCTGTTTGTTCCAGAATATTACACTGCGTAAAGGAAATACATAACTTTCGATTGAGGTATTGAAGCGCAATCAAAAACTTTTTCTATCGAGAAGTTTGTAATTAGGTTATTCGCAATTTTATATATGTACTTTGATTCGATCTATCATATATAGCCATTCAACGATAAATCTGATATATCAACTTATTTTATCCATATGGTTATCATCAGATTTTATAAAAATGATACTCGAATTTGTAGATACATTTATTTTATGATTACTCGTTTAAATGCAGCATTCGCACCAAATTTGTAATTTGATTAATTCGCACCATTTATTTTATGGCCGCCCTCTCCATCAAAATTAATGTTCCTTGCATGTAATTACATAATACGAGATATGTGCTTATCTAGAGTTTGTATATGGGTATGCGTTTTCTGTTGGTATATTTGCCAAAAGCTTTCGGTGTAACTATAGGAAGGTATGTATATTATTCGAACATACTCAAATTATTTGTCAAGTAATGAAGTTCAAAGACCACATATTTCTGTCAAGGTTACTCGAATATATTATAATTACGAGTATATATATATATATATATATATATATATATATATATATATATATTTATATATGTTTCCTGGACAGCTAATATGCAAGTATATTATTTTTAGATTTTTTTTAAGAAACGACAAAATCGCACGTATTTATAGTATTGGTGTAAAATTTGCAAGAAAGTAGAAAAGTTACAAGGATATGAGTAGTACATACTTTTTTTAACCACTTAAGTTGCAACAGGATATGCAATAATACTCTACAAAATCTTTTTTTGAAGGTGATAATATTTGCGTATATATTAAGGTTTTTATTGTATTTTGGAAGATTGGAAGGAATAAAACGAAACGAAATGGCAATACTACCAAAACGAAACACTTTATTTACATAAAATAGAATTAAATTATACTACACATACTATACACAGTTTTGATGGTATTTATATATTTAAATCAAATACATACATACATATTAAAGTCTTATTAAACTGGAAGTAAATAAATAGAAATCAATGATAGCAGTCTTTCTGATTGTTGAACCAGTCCTACCATTTATAATTTTCATAACAAAATTGGTTTTGCTTTTCAAGTTATTTGGAATCGTTTGGCACTAAATTTGAAAAAAACATGATCCAAACTTTGATCTCTCGTCGACGTTTTCTTAAAAACGTCTATGCCAATTTCAAAAATTTAATTGTTGAAACTCGATAAGGACTCGTTGATTAGTTTACCAAGACGTTTTTCGAAGCACTGTTTCTTTAGAATTAGCAGAAAATACGCAAAAAAAAATTGTACACCATTATATTAATGTAGGAAATGGTAAGAACAATGCCTCGCTTTTAGAACATGAATTGTGTATGTATTAGGCGAGTGTTCATTTTCCATTAAATATTGTATAATATTTAAACTATTTGTCGAAAATAACTTACATGCTTCGCAAATTTGTACAGAATAGAATAATCGGCTATAGTTTTCAATATGATTTGGCCCTACACTGATTAACCAACACTTATATAGATCACTCTTAAATATAGTAACATATTGATTTTTTATTTATTAAGTTAACTGTTTACACATAGTTTATTTACAGCGATAAGCAAAACATCATTGATCAATTTCTGACAAAAATGGAATTCAGAGTTCAAGTTGTTGATTGGAAACCCCGCCTAGAAAGTTATACTTTTCGTTGACTTATTCAAAAAAACAGAATGCAATCTTTTTAATAAATAAACACAATAAAACACAACAAAGAATTGCTTTCTGGAAACATTTCAGTTATTCTTAACTCTCAAATAAAATCCACGCATTCACATAAAACCATTATCGGAAAAACCTGATCAGTTTCATTCATCTTCGGAAAGGAAATCGCATTGCCTATAATTTACTGGATAGACTTATCCGAACGAAAAGGGATCAAGTAAATTATATTCCAGTAAATCCTTTGCAACGAGGTTATCCTTATCCTGTGACGTCACGGGATTTGTTCACTTTATTATTTCACGGTTATATATTATTATGTGTGTGTGGGTTTGCGAGGAAAACATCGTGTCCTATTTATTCCAGAGTTTTGCTCATGTTAGTTTCGTACGAAGTTTCCTGTGCTTGCTGGGTGATTCAATACAATGTCAGCTCTTTACATTTCAACGGATATGTCTTTTTTATTCGGTTTGATTGAATATGTATTATAAAAAGTAATGGATCATATGTTAATAACATACTTTAAAAATTTATATTAAATGTGTGGTTCGGACCTGAACAATTTTCTCACACATTTCATTTAATTTTCTTATTAGCAACAATCAGAACTTAAAAGTCCTACAAGCTTTTTGTGGTGACTTCAATGAAGTGGTTTTGTAGATTGGCAACCCATCAGTTGGCCAATCTCTTTTTGATAAATTTATTATAAAAGAATTATAATATTGGTGACATTTTATTGAATGCAGCAATGCACTTGAAAACGTAGCTATCTGTATTACTACTGTTTGACATCAGACTATACGAGACGGGTATCGAAAATGAACTTCTGAAGAGAAGCCATAGCTCTAACCACTAAGGCACGAGAAAGCGCTAGATTTTATTTTTTTGCTCTCGAAATTGATTTCTTTAAGCAAATTCATGCTTAATTTATATTGATTTTGATGGGATTTTTAATATATTTTTTTGGATGTCTACAGAGAATTAATACTGTTGGAAAAAATGCTAATCTGGGAAATCTGAATTAGAAATTGGAACTTAATTGAAATATAAAGCTGATGATAAAGAAAAACAAATTAAATTAATTTTGATAAACAATGTATCTGGATTTGAGACAAAGACTCTGAGAAATCAAAAAATAGATGAACTTTTCTAATCGCATAAACATTTCACTGTCTTTCAGTAAATTAGAAAAACTTGCCTTTGAAACTTAAACTACAAACCTACAACATGTATTTTTAGATCAAAAATTAAGTTATCTGTTCAAGTTGTCGCAAAATACGTCTTTTTATCTAGATTTTTCGATTCTTCTAGTAACTTTATGAATATTCACATAAAAAAATTAACAATAAAGAGATATATTTCTCTATTCATATTTTAGAATAATTTATCGCTTAATGTTATTTTCATAATTCTTTTCTTTGCAGGAACTGAATAATTATATCGTAATTAAAATGTCAAGAAAAATTAACAAATTCCATTTTATTCTTAATTACTTATACAGTTCACACTTTATTATCTTACGACCCCATATTACTTCAATATTTTATGTGTTACACTTTTTATGTAAATTATGTTTTTATGTTTGTCGCTTTTTTATGCGTATCCCATTTGGACTTTGATCATTTGAGAAAATTAGGTGGCTTCTTTATTTTTTATTTCAGTTTCGTATATTAAATATACATATATATATATATATATATAAATATATATATATATATATATATATATTCATGATGTAAATATACATTTATACGCGGCAATAAAGTTTTAGTCATTAATCTTATTGCTTATCATCACAAAATGTATTTGTCCTACATGTTTTATCATCTTATATGTATAGCAGGCTATGAGTTTAGGCAAAACATAAATTATTTTTATTGCGATTTACTTTATTTCTTGTTACATATTTAGATAACAGCAATAATTTATGTTCTATTATATTTTAGCATGATTTGCCATAGTATGATATAACACAACAATATCACCCTAATGATATTTTTTCGGAATTAAATTAATTGCAACCTAGGACAATAAGTCGTCAAAGAAATCATCAGTATTAATGTTATCCTATTTAATATAATGTTTTATACAAAAAATATATAATGAACTTTGACTATTAGCAATCAGTAGAATCTTTTCCGATAAAATAACAGGACATTTTTAAGAAACAAACAATTGAATAATATTTCTGGCATAAAAAATTGTGGCGTGAAAAAGTTAGATAAAAACTCTATAACGACATTAAGTATACTAAGAAAACTCAAATTTGCGGTATAATTATATAGTAAAATTTTGTCTGAAAAACATATATACTTGAACCGAACACAAACCCATTATCTAACAGTGATATGAATTGGTAAATAATAGGGTTTATACAAAAACCGACATTTTAGAAAAACGGTTTTTGAATTTTAATTTTACTAAAAAACCGCTTTTAACCGGTTTTCGAATTTTATATAGAAAATGAATTTTTGCTCGAATATTCAGTAAGTTATCCGAAAATTTAGTGTAATTTAGAGCAGTATTTGACTGAAGTTTTGTATTGTTCAATTTTATAGATAGTAAACAAAATTATTTTAATTTTAATTAGTAGAACTAAATAATAATAGTTTATCTTGATTAAATAACTTTGAAAATAATTATTCGGTATTCATGCATCATTTTCGCATAAATAAAAATTATACATTTTTAGATAAAAAAAATTCATTAAATTAAAAGAAAACAAAAACATATTAGATACATGTCGATACATGCTGTGATACATACGTTTTAAATACTCTCATACTTGCGACCAAATTATACTCAATTGTTTTTAAAGCCTGATATATTAATTCTAAGTTTTTTGTTCTTTAATTTGTGGCTTCTAAGGTTTAAAACTCTTTTTTTAAGTTTGAAAATTTATATATTTATATGTTTTAAGTTTGAGTAGAGGAAATTACTTCTTCAAGAAGAAGTCACACTGATTTAAATTAATGTATAGGTATACTGGAATAAAAATCTAAATTAATATATACAAAACCTTTCTGGGGACCATTGCAGACTTATAAGATATCAAATGCTATTGAACCGATATGATTTCAAAAATCAAAACGCTTTCATCTATCTTTTATATTTGGCTATATGCCTATATTTGTCATTTTCCATTTATACAGTGAAAACCGACTTTTTTCACTAAAAACCCGGTTATCGAATTCCATAATTTTCGCCAAAAAAACTCCAGTTAATAATAATAAACTTAAAATGGAATATATTTGAATGAAGTGTGTTTCAAAAAACTTACATATGAAATCACCTAGAATGAATCTTAAAAACATCACGGAAGTGAACATTTAAACATAAAATATAATTAAAAATGATTTACTCGTATTTTTGGGATATTACTGTCGAATTTATTGTAAAATCATAATTATTATAAATGGCTTAACTGCCCGTAGAAATATACTTATTCGAAGATTAAAAAATTTGACACTCACATATGAAATCATCGGCAAATTAAAACTAGCTGCCATTCTCCCTTCGTGAACGCAAGTTTCTTGTGGGCCTATTATGCAAGAAACATTTTTAGACCAAAGGTAAGCGGTCTCACGGATCGAAACTTCTTCTGACCCATAGGTTTCTCTGGGCACCAATGTTAAACTATGGCCCATACGACCTGAAAAAATAATATCATGTACTATTATTAAAATTTATATAGTATATGATAAGAATAGAAGTTTTATCATGAAGAGAATATTAACAAAATTTAAAATACAGCTATGTTTTATTTAGCATATCGCGGTGAATTAGCCGATTGGCTAAATGCTCGTCTCGCACCTAAATTGAATAGACTTATATTTTGAAAATGTAAAAAATATATATGTGATACTAAAGAATAATATATTAGAACTATTGATAAAACATATAAAAATCAATTTATGTATTATCTTTGAAGATAATACAATAAAAAATTATTAATGAAAATGAACAGTGTTGTAAGTAGATAAGTGCAACAGCAAAGATCAATAAAAAAGAGTGTAGTGTTTAGTAATGTAAAATATTAAAAATAAAAATAAAAAATAATTATGCCTCCTGTGAGGTTTGAACTCACGACCCCTGGTTTACGAGACCAGTGCTCTACCACTGAGCTAAAGAGGCCATGTGTACGCTTGTAGAAATACTGCGTTACTTTCGACAGCTCTACTAGAGCTTCACACACACATGTAAGTCGAGGAATCAAGTTTCATTTCAAAGGCAAAGGCAATAATAATAAATATAAAATATAATCACTATTGCTTTAAATAATTATTATTGCTAATGTCATAACGTTACGTTATTTTATTAGCAAATACCAAATTACAAATTAAATAATTCACAAATACTATTATTTTCAAAATAGTATTTTAGAGCAGTAATGTTCAATCTCTTAATACCGTGTACCTCCGTTTTTTTTACCAAAATCGTTGCTCCTTTCTTAATTTTTTTGACAATATATATTCTTAAATACTCAATTGATGGTACCTTTTATTTATCAAGCCACAAATTGATAATATAAAGTAAATATATATATAAAAAATAATTGTTTATTAAATTATTTATTATATCATTTCATCATCAGCGATAAAGAGTAAACTCAATATTTCCTTATGTGCATAAAAGTAATTTTAGCTCATTTGTGATCTTTAGTAATTTTACGTAATAATGTAATATGTTAAGATACATTGTATGTCACAGAAAAAAGATTTATGCGAAATTTCATTCTAAAGTGAATAATTACCTTACTTAATCAGGTGAATAATTACCTAAAAAAGTTTAACTGTAAAGTTGGTTTTATCAACTCAATTGATTATATAATTGACTCAATTAATTATATTACAATGAATCTTTTTATTTACCCAAAGGACCTTCGTTGACTTCCTTAATGGCCAAAGTAATTGCTCCAGATATTCTTAAACCTGGTCTTTTGTACTCCAAATCGCCTTTTCGCCGCTGAGATCCTGTCAGATATCCAATTAAAAATTCTTCTGCTCTTACAAAGAGAACAAATGGTCCTAACGTAACCAGAATAATGGCTAGCAGCGCTTTTACAAAATTCAACGCTAACATTTCTTTTCCCTTTGATTAATTGCAGAAGTAATCTGGAAAATAAACACACAATAATAAATTCATTCAATACGTTTATAGTATTACAAAGTGCAATAATATAATTGCTAAAATATTTGAAATGAACGCTTTATATTAAATATTAAAAACTACATATAACTAATATTGCGTGAAAATTACATGATAATTATTCTATAAAATGTAAAATTTTATTTTTATAACAGTGTGTATTCATAATATTGAAAAGGTACATATAAAAATTAAGGTATAAGCTTGTTAATAGGGTATAAGCCTGAAAAATAGCTTGATAATAAGGTATAAGTCTGATGAAAATCACATTTTATTTTTATTTATTTAGAGCGTTTCATATGTTTTTCAAAATCGAAATCACATTTAGTTTTCAATTTTTTACGATTATTTACGGTTGATGAAACCTGAAAAAGAATACGAGCTTAAGATATAATATGCTAACTAATCCCATGTAGCTGGGAAATAAATTTACAAGAGACCTAAAGGGTCAATGAAATTTCTAGAGTAGATTTATTTTTAGAAATATTCATTTCTAAAATAAATCTACATTAGATTTTACAATTTTTGGAATAAAGATTAAAAATGAATTAGTTAATTGTAAATCTTGATTATGTAGAGCGTATTATTCTTTCAATCACTTTGACTATTATATTTATTTTAAAATTTTAATTAGATCCTTAGATGAAAAGATAATTAGATATAATTTATACTTGTTCATCTGTGATTAGATATTTTAGTTAAATCATTTTCAATTTATCAACTTATCATTCTCTAGAACAGTGTATAAATTGTCAACGATCATACCATGTTGAATACACCGGTTCTCGTCTGATCACCGAAGTTAAGCAACATCGGGCGTGGGTAGTACTTAGATGGGAGACCGCTTGGGAACACCACGTATCGTTGACTTTTTTAATAGTTTACATTAAAATTAATATTATTTTATTCAAAAATTCACATTTTTATTAATTGACTGTGATAGCTGTAAACAACAGCATTACTAGACATACTGGACATATTATTTTTATCGACTTTTCTAAAGTTTAAACAAATTTTATTCAAATTTATATAATTTTACCTGTCTTGTTAAAACTAGAAACTGAACCTAACAATAATTTTGTTTTCGTTTTCCTTTCAATTTTTTCTTTATAAATATATTTACAAGAGAATAAAAATAATATAGAATGAAAAGTATCAATATAAAATGAAATATTGAACTGATTTGTGTGGACTAAAAAGATATTTGTACGTACAAGAAAATTCATTTCTATAAAATACATTAAATACAAATTGCAAATATTTATAAATGTAAAGTATTGATGATCCTATCATTCAATAAATTTAGTTATAAATTTTTTAAAGCAATTTAATATTCATTACTAATTGTACTAACTTTATAATAATTTTGCATCAAAATTAAAGCTCCTAATACATTTACATCACACCATACATAAATCCAGTTGCGCGATAAAACGGGCTAATTTTACTTTCACTCCCGTTAGCAGAGTGGCGCAGTGGAAGCGTGCTGGGCCCATAACCCAGAGGTCCGTGGATCGAAACCATGCTCTGCTATGATTATTTTTTATTTTTAGTATTAATTTATTTTTACAATAATACATGTTTTTCATAGAATTTGTTTAAAAAAATTGATAATATACAAAGAAATTAGTATTTTATGGGGTAAATTTCAATAAGATTTTATTAACGCAATATTATAAATTATATTATTGTAAAATAACACAATTATTAAACCTAAATACTATAAATGATAAAGAAAATAAAAGACAGCAAATTCTTTATTATCAAAATATTTTCTTTATTATCATTTTTAGTATCTTAATAATTCTGGTAATTATTTATAATATTGCAATATGCATACTAAAACTTAATAGAATAATCACATTATAAAATACATTAAATAAAAACATTATTATTGTAAACATAAAGTAAAAATGGTAAAAAATGATCAAAGCAGATATGGTTCATATAGCTTTATTCTCATTTTTAGTATTTTATTGTAATAATTCTGGTAATTTATAACTAATAGATGTTTTAACTATTTAAATTTAACATACTGAATCAAAGTCTACAAAATATTCTCTTTGAAATTAGAGCTTCATTTTATGTTTTATTTTACTAATATAATTTAATTAAAGAAAGAGAAACCTGTAAAAGAAATAAGTATTACACGGATGATCATATCAATTTAAAATGAGTTTATTTTCCACAAGTTATACATAAATTGAAAATTTATGCTATTTTTAGGTTTTTAACTATTAGGCAATTGTGATTAAGTAAGTTGTATCTCTTTAAACTATTTTTTATAATAGATCTAATTAACAATCAACTGTTATCGCTAATGCAAGGATATAAAGAAACTCGAGTTCTTTATACTACGTATATTGTTTATTATGACAATAGTAATAACACTATGTGTGATTATATTGATCATTTACAAAAACGTAGATGTTATTTCAGTATTTATAATAAAAAAAGGAAAAAAAGTTAAGAATTATAATTTTGGCATTTCGAACATGGACCAAACAAAAACTAGCTCTGATCTGACACTTGAACTTTTTGTTTTTGAGCTGACACTATGATGAGCTTCAAATAATGAACATCTGTCAAGTTAAAATGCGACGTGTGTTGACAGGTCGCTACAGATCACTCCGCCCTAATGAAAAAGATTGTTTCGCATCTCTGAGTGCCATCTTGAACTTCCTTGTAAATTTCTTTTGGTTGAGATTGTGTGATAAATTTTATTTGTTCGTGGCCGTGGCCGTTTTGAATGCCGTGTTGGCTTGTTGAGTTTGTTGATTGCTTACGTGGCCCTTCGCTGGTGAGTTAGCGGTTGAGTAGATGTGGCCCTTCGCTGGTGAGTTAGCGGCTGAGTATATTTGACACTTCGCTGGTGAGTTAGCGGTTGAGTGTATGTGGCCCTTCGCTGGTGAGTTAGCGGTTGATTGTATGTGGCCCTTCGCTGGTGAGTTAGCGGTTGAGTGTATGTGGCGGTTGCCAAATTGTTTGCTGACGCTCCCTGTCCTCTGCCGTGGTGCTTATAATCGACTCATTTTCCAGGATAATGAGGGATTTATTGAGCACGTGTTGTTGTTTTCGATGTGCGTGGCCGGAGTCTCAGTTGTAGGATTAGAATGTTCTTAGAGTTATGGCGGTTGTGAGCCATTTATATTCATTATTTATTTTTAAAAATTCTTTTCTTAATAATTCATGAGACTTCAATTTATTTTTTTACTTCTAAATTTGTTACTTCTAAATGTGTCTTGATCTTCTTACCTTCTTTCCTTCTATATGCGTGCTATTAATTCACGTTCGCGGTCACCACTAAAGAAACTCGAGTTCTTTATACTACGTATATTGTTTATTATGACAATAGTAATAACACTATGTGTGATTATATTGATCATTTACAAAAACGTAGATGTTATTTCAGTATTTATAATAAAAAAAGGAAAAAAAGTTTTGAATTATAATTTTGGCATTTCGAACATGGACCAAACAAAAACTAGCTCTGATCTGACACTTGAACTTTTTGTTTTTGAGCTGACACTATGATGAGCTTCAAATAATGAACATCTGTCAAGTTAAAATGCGACGTGTGTTGACAGGTCGCTACAGATATATGGTATTGGAAAGAAAAATAAGCTCAAGATTTTGTCAACATCAAAATTATTTTGTTATTGTATGGTTGTAGATAGTTTTCAAAATTATGAAAAATATGTTAAATAAATTTAGTGTTTAGTTTCCTACATTCCTACTACCAGTAACACTTCATACTGCAACTTATATTATAATTTAAATTAATAACTTTGGCTTACGATATATTAGTGCTAAGTAGATCTTTTTCAACTTAACCAGGAACTTCGATAATTTAGATATAAATAATTATTTATTTTTAAAGGATTTTATGAGGATAATGAATACAGGCAAAAGCGAATACAGACATAATGATTATGAGGTCATACTTTACAAAAAAAAGTGTAACAATAAATGTAGCCTTCTAATTGCGGCATAAAAAGCAATCGATGCTCTTTAAATTATAATCAGAATATTCAACTAACTATTAGTTATAAATTTTATACATAGTTTCGATTACTAATATTACATTTGACCTTCGACCCCGAAACTCGATACACATATGAATACAGACTTACGGAAATTTATTCCAGCACAATGTAGGTGAGCAATCATGTATAAATCCTGGCAAATTGCCCGAAAAAATAACCGAGAAATGGTTTTATTATGCCCGAGAAGTAATAAACATTAGAATACAGAACTAGTACTAAAACTATGTCGCCCAGTATGTGTGCAATGCGTATGTCTATGTGATATTTCCAACACACACGTTTTGTAATGAAGAAAATTTAATAGATATTGATTGAAAATATGTGCTAGTAATTAATATTTTATATTTATCAGATCGATAAGCATCTATCGATTTATGGATTTTTATAGTGTCATTTAGATCAATGAAACTCTGTGGCTTCTGGTAATTGTACATCTATAACAGATTCGCAAATCCTCCTTTTATAGAGTGCAAGAAATGATAGCAACATATAGGGAATGGTTACTTAGTTATCTTAATTGGATCTATAATGGGCAGTTAAGCGGAAAATGTGGAAGTTTTTCTGTATCAACATATAAAGACGATACATAATATATATATATATATATATATATACATATATATATCGAAGTTGATTTTTACATATGCATTAATAGAGACAATCAGTAAACAACACGACTTTTTTAAATGGTTTATCAAAAATTCATACGCTTCAGATAGGTTCTAAGCTTCATTCAATGAAACAATAAATTTGTTATTCAAATTGAACTAAAACTTATTTATAATTAGTATAAGGATATACTATACCTTAAAGCACATTTTTTAGAGAATATATGTGCAATCTATAAACTATTATAAGTTATAACTGTATTTTTTTAATATATAGTTT